CAGCTTTCTTCTCAAAAGCTAGTCGCCATCTTTTTGTACGTAGGTATACATACAAAAACTAAAAGCTTCATAGTTTGTTTGTATCTGGAGTTTCCAGTCGGATTTGAAAAATGGTATTTACAGTTCTTTGTTCCACGTCAGCTAAAAGTACGGATTAAATATTCCGTTTTTTGTTTTTTGCATCCATCCGTCATTCTATCCCCTTTGCAGCGTATATCGCCTTTGAATCATACCTAGCTATAAGGGTGTATGGACTTGGACAATCGCGTTAGAAAGAGCTTTTTTACGAAGAGCATTGTTAATGTTTCTGTAGACCGGACTGTAGGTCATGTTGTTTCTAACGGTCGTAGGTACTCAATGATATTTAATGAAGACGTTATCTTTGATAAAGATTTTGTCCCGAAATGAATGGGTAGTTTAATCAGTTAAAAAGAAATTTTAAGAATACATACAAATTATATAATCATGCCTACATTCATTCACTTTGCAATTGAATTTAACTTTACCTTATACGTTTCTAAGTCTAATTACAAATAATCATTTAGAAGAAATCTAATAAGTTTAATATTATTATGTAATATAATAGTGTTATGTACTTAGCCGGAGACACTGGATTAAAGTAAACCTACGCTTTTCAATACAACGTAATGCAGTCAAACAATTTTGACTCGTATCGTGTTTAAATTAAAGCTGATAAAAACGTCAAAATACAGTAAAAACTAAATTAGTAAATAATCGAGCACTACATGCCATTCTAATGGGTAAGCAACAGGGTTTAAAATTGATTGTTGTCCTACGTCCTTTGTAAAGAGAGTTACAAATATGGTAAAACTACCAATGCACCGTATTTTGTTAATATACCGAAAAACAGTTTTAAGGAATGTACGAATCTGTGACGTCACACGAAATTTCAAATCAATGTCTCTTCAAAAGTATTCAGCAAGAATTTATCAAAAGAAAAAAATAAAGTAGGTTGTCATCTCTATAATGTTAGCGTTCATAATACCCACACCAAGACTAGGAATTCTGATCTGCTTACTTCACACTTAAAGTTTACCTAGACATCTTGAATAAGTCTCTAAAAGAATATTCGAGATTTTCTGCACACCTTTACCTAGTAAATATAAGTGTTTACTGCCTTCCTAACAAATGATTCGTATTGAATAGAAACTCCATTTTACAAATTGAAAACTCACAAGAGTTAAGGAAAAGTTCGCGTTCTTATTCCTAAAATAGAATAAAAACTATTCTGTCTTCGTCGCACAATTGATTTTTGTACTTGCTAAACAGGGACAGCAATAAAACCTTACGTCTTAACCTAGTTTAAGATTGTAAATCATGTTGTTTTTTTTTTGTTTTTTTTTATGAGTCGTCTTATGTCATGGTATTTGACGTGAATTATGAGGTCACTAATTAAAGTAATCTATTTTCAATAAAGTGCACTTATACTTGGAACTTGCTAATTAAAATCTAGCTTTAGTTTTCGTTAGGTCTGTTAAGGTTAAGGGTGCCCTGACTATTGGAACAAACCTGTTACTATACCTTTCTAAGGGAACCACATTCATAAATTTCTAAAATATAGGTACTTACATATATTCAAATCATACTGTCTTCACCCGAACTAAGAGCAAATTTTTTATACAACATTACTTACGGCAAACTAGCCGACGTATTACCTGAAGGTAAGCAATCAGCGCCGCCCAAGGACACCTGCAACAAAAAAAGAGTTACGATTGCGTTGCCGACCTTTTGGGGATTAGGGTTTTGGAGAATTTGGGATTAGGGGAGGGGAAGGATTGGACTTCCGGTCACCTCACTCACACGTCGAAACACAACGCTGTGGTTGTTTCACGCCGGTTTTATGCGAGGCCATGGTATCACTTCGGTCGCGCCGACCCATTCGTGTCGAAGCAAGGCTCTCAACACTTATTTAAAAAAAACTTATTCGACGTTTTGCATACCTACTCTGTTTCTATAACAGTCTTAAAGGAGTCGTCACGTCACGTTTTCGTCTCGATCTCGTTGAGACATCGCGTTACAGTGTACGGTCCAGATGTGTTTACTGACGCGTGACCGATGGGCTTCGGCAGCCGGCCAAGGACTAAAAGGAAACTGTCAATGTTGAAAAGTTTTTTACAAATACTCTTCTGCATGTCTGTAACCCTGGTAATATAACATCTCGCCATTTAGTTCAAAGAGATAGACAGAGATACAGATACTTAAATTATTATAAATAAAACCTTTTTCGATTATTATAAAAATATATTCGAAATATAAACTACGTAATATTTTTTTTTCTTAAAATCGAAGCAATGACTCCACAGAAGCAAGCTAAGGCGGAACTAAAAATAAAATATCATATTCGTAACAAGCCACAGTATAAAATCGCAAAACATTTTTAAAAACAAATCGTGAATATTTTGCCAATATATTTCAGTTATCTTGAACTCCCTGTATTCATTCATATCATACAACTGTCCCCTCCCCCCTTCCCCTCCTCTCCACCCGGCTGGAATGTTGGGATGACGTACAATGCATCCCTAAAATCCATATACATAATAAATCCCATTTATAAATCCTGAATGTATTTTCAACAGTCATGTCAGTTCAATATCCTCAACGGATGAAAACTATTTTGTAAACTCTTGAAAATAGAATTAACAATTTAGTTTTTTGTTTTTAAGAACTCGTATTTTAGATTTTACTGTAGCACATAATCATCATTTGACATCCACAAAAGACATGCTTTGAGCAGACAAAAAAAATAAATAGGAAACGATTTATCTGATGGTAAGCAGTCCCATGGACACACGCACGAGAGTAGATGCAAGGGCGTTGCCGGCATAATGGGGCTATGGGGCATTGGGCAGGAATGAGAGAGGGCAAGGATTGGGCCTCCGATAACATCACTCACACGGCGTAACACAACGCTAACGTTGTTTCACGCCGGTTTTCTGTGAGGCCGTGGTCTCACTTCGGTCAGACCGGCCCGATTCAAATAAGTGGCCGAGTAAGGCTGGTATCAACTATACTATATTTCAAACGTCGCGTCGGATAGTATAGCGGATTAAGACCTAAAACCCATTACAATTCTCATATAACTGAAATCAAACCTAATACATAATGCCACGATCAAATATCACACAGCTTGCACTGAAATACTGTAATAATATATTCCTAGAACTTGAATAATTTGATCTTAATTACGTTTAATCATATAATTATTTCCTAGATCAAAATGTATGTGTTCTAAACATTACATTGATGCAGAAATCAACAGAGTACTAATCTCAGATTCAATATGTATTCCTGTATATTTAGAATAATATATATATGTACATTTGCTATGAAATTTTAACATTTGAGATACCTGTTAGAATTAATGTACCCCGACATGTCTATCTCAATGTTGTTCTATTCATACTAACCATTGCATATAATCAACAATAACAACAAACAATGACAACATTCACATTTTTTAAATTCATTAGAACTTGCAAATAAATATTCGTAACGAGTAGAACAGAATTTTCAAAAAAAGAATTTCCAGAATGTTCTATATTTTTTTAAATAAGGAACAAATTCATTGTTCTTATGTCAATTATGTTTTTTTTATTTTAATTCAGTTCGAGCCTTATTAACTCGTTTTCAACTTTTATTCACTCAAAAATAGCCTATGACCGCCTTACAATAAAGTTCAACGATAAAGCCGTATAAACAAAGAAATAAAGTGAGTTGCTTTAACACAATAAAGTTGTAGCAAGAAAACTTAGTCATCACTTCGTCTCTGGCTTTTCATCTCAAGAAGTATAACCAGTGCTATTGTTTTACCCTTTCACAAAACACTCTCAAAGTTCGCACTGAAATAAGTGCAATGTACGCCCTGGATTCTTGCACCTACGTGAAAATAAATGTGGATTTCCATCAAGATTATGTTTTTCTCGTTTATTATAAACCAAAAATATATATCTATAACTTTACTAAAGTTAAGTTGAAAATATTACGCAAGTCTTTACAGAAGGCCACGTACCAAAGTTGATACTTCGAAATGTATTTGATATTTTTACGATTATACATTGAAATATTGACTTAAAATGTTGAAATACAAATGCCAAAATCTCTGGTCAAGGAATCACATACGATTTTGGCAGGAGTCCCAGCTAATTTTGAAATGTATGGATACTTGAATCTAGTAATATGGCAGCACAAAATTGAATTTCATCACAAAGTAGTAAAATTCATTTTCCAACAGTAAATACAACTGGGATATCTTGATATAAGTGTCAATTTCCAGCAAAATGTCTCAGACAATTTCCTTAGCGCCTTTTCAATAGTGACTTCCACTGTTACTTTTAAAAATACCTTCCATGTCTTCAAACTACAAAGGCACAATTCAAAAGCTTAATAAAGAATCTTGCTCAAAGGAATTAATTCTCAGAGAATAGAAAAAGATTTTTTATTTTTTCTATAAACCCTGTTTTTGCAAGATTTTTCGTAATCACTAACATACAATATGACTAACTATAACTATACATATACACACGGTACAGTTTCCAATACAAAAATATATATTTTTATTCTGAAGGGGAGTTCGTTAACCTTTGACAATTCATTCTAGGAATATCCTTAGGATTTATTTTCACACAATATACGAGTAAATAGAGAGTGCTCACATTGATAATTCTGTCTCACATTTTCTTTATAGCCTTTAGAAGGTATCATAAGACGCGTCGTAGACAAAGCTCGCTATTGTCTCCGAGTATAATGGCAGCATCCTAACACTTTTCTATAAAGGTTACATTAAGCCATGAAATAGTGTAATATATGCACACAATTCATACGCACGTATAATTACTACCTGTTGAAGCCAATGTATGATAAATGGACCCTTTAGTCTTGCTCCGACGCTCCTGTGGTGCGGTTCACTGCATGGAGCGCTCTTCGTATTTCCGCAGGGAGGTTGATAATAATTTCGTCTCGTAAATGGTCAAATTAACAAAATGGTAGACTTTAATGAGCTTCCAGAAATTTGGCCTACAGATGCACCATCCAATAATAGTAATTTGTTAGAGATTGCGCCAACACCTCGACTTTTAGAAGAAGCTGTGCATCCTGACTTGGAAAACTGGAATCCCAACGGTGAACAAGAAATAAGCCGGTAAGTAAACAGAAGAAGTGATGGATTGACATGAAAAAAATTAGCGCTTTGAGTTTATGGCCTGCGTTCACCGGTTCGAGTTCGATCGATTTTCACAATATTTTTTCTATCGACATTATCGGCGAGCGAATTGCCGTGTCATATTCGTTTGGCGTAGCATATTATTCACAAATAAAGCTCGCCGCGCCCCATTGTTGTTCAAGGCGTGAAGAATCGGCTCGTTTCTAGCGCGCCGAGGTCCAGCCGAGTGCCGATAAAGGGTTTCGGATACCAAATATTTAATGCGATGCTTGTTAGGCTAACGCGGCGACCGAAACGGGAGGTATTGTGTTGGGGCCCATATTTTTAATGCCAGTATTTTGAGAGTCCTAAAGGCTGTGGACAAGTAATTCTGAGTCGTAAGCTTTTGTTTCAACGCAAACACGCACAATACAAATGAAATTTGTTACACGATAAGCGATAAAAATTGAAAGTGCTTTTCGTAACGGGAGTTACACGAGAATTAAGAATTTTGATTTATGGTTTTTCTTAAATATTAGCCTTAACTCTTTGCTAACATTAAAATGGTGATAAAATTCATGTCGAGGTAACAGTGTTGCCCCAACAATATTAAATTCTTGTTATCTTTCTGATTGATTCTAGTGCACATGCATATATGTAATATCAGTGAAATGCATATATCTACTATCTTGTATCAGTGAAAAGGGTGACGATATTGAATTTTTAAAAGCTTTTCCTGGCTGATTAAACAGTTGCCTTTTTGGATCTCGCGGAGTGGCGTTGTCAGAGATCGCTATATTTCGTATTTATCACTATGTGATAAGTATTCGTTTGAATGGGGGTGTATAATATCAGAGGTTGGTTGTTCGGGCGATTATTTTTAATCTGTATGAGTTTTTATTGTAAAGTTTTACTTTTAATTGAGGATAAAATGATGTATTTAACCCAATGAGCTTCTTAAAACTTTGAGGAAAAGTTGCCGTGAGTGATGTACTTCGTTGTTGAAGTTGTTTGTTTTTTTTATTTCGCTGTTTTGTTAGCTATAGAACCTTATTAGTCGGGAATAATTTTGTACAGATGTTTTTTAAAGTTTTTTTTAATTTGGTGCCTGTGCTAAGTTACGCGATATCAATGAGCTTTTTTTTAATGAAACTCAATTTTTTGCTTTAGTATACTTATAGTGCTTTATAATTAGGGGTGTGCTGTTTTAAGGTTCCGTAGCTTCCCTTCGTTAAATATAGTTTTGGAACTAGACGTACTACTGGTTTACTACGCTGCTTCATTATTCGAAAGCCCTTTGTCTCACACCCTGTTTGTCTCCAACTATATCCCGTGAAAATAATTGTTGAGGATTTTAATGAAACTCCATAGCATAGCTTTGCTTTAGGTACAGAACTAGTTTTAGTCAGATTGAAATGGTTTGACTAAACTTAGAGTTTAAGCTTTACCTCTGTTATTAAGTTGACGCTTCCTATGTGGAGTTCAAGATACATTGGATTTCCTGAACGCGATATCGGTTTAATAACATTGACTTGGGTATGGATTAGTTATGCTTACTACTACTATATATTAACTACTTATATGAGATATTGTACCCTCTTTTTTCTTGATTTCACGTTGCAGTGTGTTTTAATGGAGTTTTTTTTCTTATAGTTTGCACTTGATAGGCTAGATAGCGATTTAAGTTCGTTCTTTGATGCTAAGCTGGGCTTGGAAATATATCTTTATATATAAAAATTTAGTGTCACGTGTTTGTCCGCGATGGACTCCTAAACTACTAAACCGATTTTATGTTTGATTTGCATTCCGTGTGCGTTTTGATCCAACTTGAAAGATAGGATCTCAATTTATAGTCACAATATTATTTACCTTAGCCACAGCAACGCGTGGCTGGGTCTTAATATATGTTGTATGTGGTATTAATATATGTTGCAGTTCACAAGAATAAGGTCCTAATGCAGATGTTTTGTTTTGTAAAACAGAGTTGTTAAGCACAAACGATATATTTTATTTTCATTTATATTTTCTTCAGTACTCTCTTTAACGGTTTCTTTTATAAAAGTAACATCTGTATACATTTTCTCTCAGTAAAATATCGAAGGTTGAATTGTTTGCTGATATTTGCTTCGTTTAATTTCTATGCTATTGTGAAGATGTATTTTAATAGGTTTAGAATTCTTAGTAAAATAGTGTTTATGTGTTTTACAAGATTTTCAATTGTACTGTTAAAGAAAAGAAATAAGTAGGTACAGCATTTTTTTTAATAAATTTTAGCTTTAAATAATTGGTTAAGTTAGAATACGCAAGTATATTCGGCAGTATTAAAAAAAATACATAGAATCATATAATATGTATTTTTATATACCTTAAATTTATATACCTTGAAAAGAAAATATAACACTGGCTGCTTTTCAGTTTAGATTTAAATAGTTCTGCCCGGTGGCATTTTATTTTTTGATTTTAGCTGCTTTTATTTTACCTTGATGTAAAAGTATGTACAAGTAAATTAAAAATTAAAAAGTTTTTACTACAACTAAATCAAATAGTATAATTCTTAGTCGATAATGTATTCGTAGAATCCGATTTTACATGACTCCATAGCATTTATTCAATACTCTTACAGAAAAAAGACCCCGACTTTTTTCAAATATTTCAATTTAATATCATGTCCCTAGTAGCCGACCACATCATTTGCAGTCCCGCTAGCAACCAGTGTATTAACACGGCCCAGCTAGTGAAAACAAATATTTTCGGAATTCGTTTATTACCTCACTTTCGAGCTAATAATTAACGCAGTTTGTATTTTGTGACCATACTAGGTTGGAAAATGTCTGTGGACGTTCCAATTTTAATACTCGCTGGAAATGTTATCTAAGGAATAAAATTGTTGTTGTCACTGTCATATACAAACATTCTGACGCGACAACTTATAATTATTCCCCAGAAGGCTTTTATCTAACCATTGATAAATCAGCCCTAAAACATGAATGCATAACATTAAAATATTACTAACCTTCAGACAATTTTTAGACTTTTACTAAATACAATTTGTTTCTTCAATCGAAAGAGTACACAAATTTAAAAATCCCCTTAACATAATAGTGTACTCGGCAACGCGTAGGTACACAAAACGAAATTAAAAAAAATTCAAATAGAAAATCGAATATCGATCACCGAACGTGATAGCGATCAAATGCCTGTTCATAACAGAATAAAGAAAAACCAAAAAAATACATGATAAGTAAACTCGAGTCCAAAACTGAATGTACTAACTTAGTAAAGTTCTTACTAAACACACTGTACTAAGTAATTTGTTTAATTTAGCTAATTCACAGGCAAACAGGGTTACAATTCACGGTTGTGCACGATTCAACGATAACCGTTACGGTTCGGGCCCTCACCGTGTTACTATGAATTAGTTGCGTTTACTTTGGACTGTTATCTAGTGCACTTGACTCGACCAGATAATGCTAAACGCACCATAACATGCCAGTAATCACTAGAGGGTGGGAAAACTATACTAAACTTGCAGCGACTTATCTGAAGTATTTGTTTTACTCAGTATTGTTTTTTTATGGCGTGACGATGCCTATTGTCATACAAAGTCCCCATATCCCCAAACCTTATCCCCAAAATGAAATTTGTATACCTGTTGAGCTAGGAAGTTTCCTATCAACCTCTAACATTATTTGACGTAGGCTTATTGTTTAAAGAGATGACCAGACCCCCTCCCCCATCGATTTCAATGATCGATATTGCGACGTCCAGTCGATTAGCTAACCTGTCAAAAGCAACCTCGTTGTAGACCAATCTAGAGATGTTGGAATATAATAACGATGTAATAGGCTTTGTCCGCCCATAGTTGAAGGAAAGATAACGCTCTGAGCTCCTACACTGGTGAAATTAAGATTTTGAGAAAAGTAAAAGCTTTTTGAAATGCAGCATTCAATGGTTCTGATTCATAGAATAGTACTTAAGCACCTTATCGTACTGTTCTTTTAGATCAGAGAAAACGATAAAAAAGGCTTTAAAACTACTAGTGAATATTATACAAAGGAACTGTGCCTGACATTACAATTACAAGGGACATTACGGATAAAACAAAATGTATACCTATCATTGCCTGTTCCCGCCACTATTACCTGGAATAATCCTAATGAAAAACTATCAAAAAAAAAAAAAAATAGCATTGGCATGTAGTACGTGCAAAAAAAAAACAATTTAAAATAAAAACTATTTTTTAGATATTCACGTAAATTTTATTTATTGTGTAACGCAGTTTTAAATAAAGATAATTGAGAGGATTTTTGTTTGAGAGTTTCTGTAATTTTATAATCGGTTAATAATTTGTTTTATGGTGGGTAAGTAAGTGCGTTTATTTTTTTGTGTGTGCTGTGAAATCCTACAACCGCTTTGTTTCCTTTTACCAGTTGTTACATTTGCGAAATTATAAAACATGAGAGAGTAACTATAAAACAGAGTTAAAATATAAAAAGAATATGACGGGCGCAAAAAGCTTTCAGCAATTACAACTTCGCAACATAAATATCGAGTTTTAAAAGTATTTTCATTCATTTGTCGACAAAAATGATGTAACATGTCCGAGTATGGAAATTTCGTCGTAACTGACTACGGGGACACGGACATCGCTTAGTTATAGGATTTGAGTCAGTCACAGGACAACAGCAGAACGTGCAACTTTGATGTCGGGCTAAAATTGTGAAAAATGTATTTCGAACGTATGTTTGCTCACTTCATCGCCTCTTTTTTCAGTACCTGCATTCATTGTTTCATTTTTTATTTTTCCTGTAACTGTTTCAAACTCGATTGTCGAGTGAATTATTGAAATTTGTAACTCTCTGCTGGTTTTTAGACCAATTTAACTCGTCGCCATTGTCTGTCACACGGACTTTGAGATCAGAGTCTATTATGTAATAGCTACTGTATTCAATAGGCAATAAGAGAGAAAATTGATTGATGTGAGGTAAATTCGGTTGGAA